AATGCCACGGCCCGGGGGCCTTGCCCCGCCCCTGCCACTCCCACAGAGTGCATCCCCTCAGTTTCTGCCCACGGTTCATCCGGTCATTCGGATTTGAAATCTTGAGTTCTATTTCAATTCTTCCCTCTCCCCTACCTACTTCATCCAACCAATCTCAAAAACTTCATATCTGACCTTTGCAACAAATATCAAAATCATCTCTTCCTTAAACTCTCAACTTCCAACCTCATTCATAGATTCAATTGTCTGTTAAATACTCAGGGCTAAAAGAACCCTGTGTCCTTTGACTTCAGCCTCTTTCTAAATTGTTCATACTCAAAAGGCAGGTATCTTAAGACACAGCTCTTACTACAACACTTTCCTCCCACCTCCCGAATCAGGTTCTGAACACTGGAGTTAGTGACTCTCTTCAGAGAGTTGCTCCAATGTATTGTTTCATACTCATCCCTCCTCGGACCCTGCCTGCGGCCAGGCATTTACTAGACGGCAATATTCATAGATACGTAAGCCTCTTCCTGTTCACTTTCTTTTGCTGACACCTTCTGTGAACTACTCTCTCACCCTAGATCTGCCTGTATCCTTTCTCCTGCAATATAGCCCATATTGAGTCAGTTGCTTATTTTGCATCTCAGTCTTCTCATCTGTAACGTGTGCACAGCAGTATCTACTGTCAAGAACTTGCTGTGAATATTAATTATATGTGAAGTGCTTAGAACAATGCTGACAAATAGGAAGTGCTGAGTTATTATTAATGTTATTATTAGCTGTTCTTTATGAGGGAAAAACCAGAGGATAAAGGCTTACTAACTGAAATTCCTTATTTATTTATTTATTTTTGTCCCCAACTCATTGTTCACTGACATGCAGATGACAGCTTAGTCTTCTCTTCTTTTACCAGAGCCACCACTCTCTTGGTTAGACTAAGCTTGGTCATCACCCACTTCTAAAGCCTTAAAATTAACATCCTGCTTTTCAATCACAAGTTAATGTTCTCTGCCTCACTATGACTGGACTCGTATATCTTCCCCAGTCTGACAGCCTAGTGCTGGCTTTACTTCACCCTTCAGCTATCCAAGGTTTGCTTGACACTTTCACTTAAAGAATTATTGTTATTATTTTGTGAGAGG